ATAATTTGTCAAAGCATTCGTAGAATAGGTTTCCAAACTATGTAAAGGACTGAGCTGGAAGTGCACTCTTTTTAAATTAATACTGGCTTTTGTTAGTGGGTTTACTTAATTTGGATGAGGAATAGTCTATGTGTTATTTTAAACTGTATCATCATCATCATTATCATCAGCCTATTGTCGTCCACTGCTGGTCATAGGCCTCCCCAATTGCATGCAATTCAAACTGTATATCTGAGCCTAAGTCCTCGAAAAAGTTTTGAAGTAAAAGAGCAATTCAAGTTTTTGGGTTTTTAGGTAATACTAGTTTCCTAAGTGTGTGAGTGCTTAGCTTCGGCACGAATGTGTCGGCTCGACCGGAGTGATACCACGACCTCACAGAATACCGACTTGAAACAACCACAGCCTTGTGTTTCGCCGTGACGGTGTGAGTGAGGTTACCGGAGGCCAATGCTTCCCCTCCCCCGATTCCTCCCATTCCCTAAATCTCCAAAACCCTAATCCCTAAAAGGTCGGCAAAACACTCGTAACCCCTCCGTTACGGGTGTCCATGGGCGGCGTTGATTACTTACCATCAGGTTATCCGTTTGCTCGTTTGCCGAACTATACCATAAAAAATCTATATTTTTCAGGGTAGCTAATGAAACTTGTTATGAGTTACTTAAGGATGACTAAAATAATAGGATTTCCCTTTGAATCAAGAAGTATGGTAGTATTATCTATAAATAGGCAGATCACATTTGCCGAAGATGTAGTTCTGTTGCGGAGACCTTGTCTAGGGGTCGTGGTTGGATGTGTAAAATTGAAGATCAAGCTCAGTGGAATGCTATTGGAGAGACCTACGTCCAGAAGTAGACGTTAACTTACTCTTACGTCTCACGAAAGTTATAATAAAAACAATCACTAAGTTGTTGCAAACACCTTTAATTAAATCTTCATCGCATCATTATCGACCAATCATAACGCACCGATAAATTTAATCATTACAATTTAGCTACAGATTAGTCAGTAACATCATATCTAGGTACTCATCATTTAACAAATCAAACAACTAATTGTGGATTAGTTGCGAATTTTCACTAATAATATCAAATATTCTAACGTCAATTTGTTCAGCAATTAATTACGGTGGTTTCAGTAATGTGTTTGTGGCAGCATAGCGACTGGAAATCAAATATCATATTATATGTTAATTTTGGAATTAGATATTATAGAATTGTAATTATTGTAGGTGATCTTAGAATTGTTGACGATCGAGGTCTAGGTCGTTAGCCGCGGCTACGGATGCAAGCGCAAATATGTATCGTGGCTACGGCCCAGAACAGTAGAAGGAATGTAAGATGTTACAAAATACAGTGACTTTCATGCATATTTTAAACAATTACATTTTAAATATGACGGACACAAATTCTTCATATATTTTAGTTTTATTAAATTCAATAATTAATTTAATATAATGGATACTATTATTAACTAAATAGATGATTGAAATATAAACAAAGGATTATTTCATAATTATTATCAGGTGTCTGTTGCCAAGATTTAGCAGTAGGTACTGCTCAATTTTTAGCCGGGGCTGCGGGGTAAGCGCAATGAGGCACCGCGACCTCGGCCCAGAGCAGGAGAAGGAACGGGGGGGTTTTTAGTCAGTAAGAGTCTGACACTCTCTCTCGCCTTACCCTGGGCGGGAGAAGTCATTGGATGATTTTCCCATGACAAAAAAAAAAAAAAAAGGTACTGCTCAATTATTATTATTATTTAGATGGACTTCAAAGTGTTTTAAATTTAGAACTTTTATTTCTTTTGGTGTTTTGTTATAGATGAAGAGTGCCAAACTTAGAATGCACTTGTGCATTCAAGCTGTGTTAGATCGAACTTGATATTCTTTTATTATCTCTTTGATCGCGGCTTCCTATATCCATGAGACGATTAAATAAGTTAGAATTTGTTGATGAGGATTCAAACTCGGTTGCAAAATGTTAATAATTTGTACAAAAAGTCAACAAAACTACTAACAACTTCCTTTGCAAACATGAAACAAAGTTTAAGGTTAAACAAACAAGCGTTACAAATTAAAAACCATACTGAGAGCCATGGAACGGTCAAATTTAACCCGTTATCAGGGTCAACGGTGCAAAACTTTACCAACATAAATTCAGAAACTTAAACGATCGAATAAAATTTTATTGTTGCCTATCTTGCCCGGGTTGACCGGGGCAATTAGCCATTGTTATGCCCGGGTTTATGGACAAATACCCGGGTACGTGGCACTTCGGGCAGGCCTCTATGATTTATTGGCCTACGTGGCCTCGCTTGCCCATTGTTCGATATTTCCGAGATTTGATTTTGATATTCCGATTTAGATCGGATCGTGATGTTCAGGAGGTTATTTGTGAGTCATTTGTCACGTAGCTAGTGAATTGTGTGATTTATTTTGTTGGTTCCTTGTGTGATCGTAGTTTTGTGAAGCTGAAAGGAAATCTAGACAGAATGCTTTCATGTTTCCTCGTGTTCTATAAAGATCTGATGCTTTTCTATATCAGCCACAAAACTATTCTAAAGTAAAAATTTCAATTATATGATTCTTTATTCTGGAATATACTAACTGGCGGTCAATGTATCTACTACATAAGAAACAAAACAATCCTGTATTACAAATTACTTTAAGCGCACCTGAAACTCACCTGAAGATAAAATCAAGATGAGATCGTCCAGAGACGACTCGACACCTCTGCGATTGACGGGCGTATGATAAATTACTTTTATTAGTGGATTTGTCATGGGAGCCATCGATCAAAACCCATAACGATCGAACAACGAACTTATATCGTTAAATCCAGATTGATTTGGGAATCTGGGTCCGTGGAACGTTTTTATATTTATGTAATATCGTTTGTTAGAGTTTTCGCATTTGTTCAAGTGGATGTATCAATTTGTTTTGGTAACTTTTAAGGCTATATTACAATACTTGTTTCCTGTCATGACGGCTTATACGTTGATTTTCAGGTTGAACGTTTTTTGGCTTAATTTGGCTCCATGCTTCGGTACGAACGGGTTTACTCGACCGGAGAGATACCGTGGTCTTGGTCAAAGCCGGCTTCGAACCACTGCATTGTATTTCGTAGTATGAGTGGGCATCCCTCCTCAATCCCCAAATGCACCGATTGCTTACCATAAAGCAATCCTTATGGTTGAATCGCAAAATAAATGATACTTCACATATCTTCCTTATCCGTTGTTCCTCTTCCGTTCCGACCGTTGAACAAATTTAGATATGTTTAACGAATTTAATTTATATTTTTATTAAATACTATAAATTCTTGCAGCGAGGAAAATGAAAACACAAAAAAGTGCTAAGATTTCGTAGCAAAAAAGAAATAAGAATTTTGAAACACCTGAGATTTCGAAGACTGACCACAAATAAACAATTACTCCTGAAAATCTCAAAGGTGTTGTAAAAACCGAGCAAGGGATTTCTACCAGCTGTTTCAGTAAGTCAATTAACCTAAATAAGCATGGTAAAACCGCCATCGTCTTATGGTAAAATATCCAGGCCAATTTTAAAGGAATGAAAAATCCATCCGAGTTCCTTCTGCAATTATACTATTCCCATTTATTATTGCTTTCCAATATTTTATAATAATATAAAGGTATACGTTAAAAAAAGAAAGGAGAAATACTAAAATTATAGTAAAAACTGAAAATAAACGACACAAATAAGAAATATTTATAAAGTCAAATATTTGCATTGTCTATTTTTAAATTATGAATGGAATATTAAACGTTTTCTAAATCCAAATTAAATCAAATGTCTTTAATGTATTTAAAGTGTATAGATGTAGTCTACAAGTTCAGTCCGGTCTACAATAATAGATAGTCCAACTAAAGGCCATATCATTAAACAATTTTCAATTAAAGGTATTTAAATTATCATATCATATATCATCATTATCCAAACTAATATTATAAATGCGAAAGTAACTCTGTCTGTCTTTTCTTCACGCCTAAACTACTGAACCGATTTCTGGGAAATTTGGTTCAGACATAGTTTGGAACTCGAGAAAGGACAGGATTTTTATACCAAAAATCTGCAGGAAGTCACTATTCCATGCGTTCAAAACCTAGTGATAAAAAAAGTCTCAAGACACGGTCTACTGCTGTACATAGGCTTTCCTCGATGACCTCTGAATCAGGTGAAAAAACCAACTTATTTCCATTAGGCAATTTAATTAATTATTTCTCTGTTCGCTTTTGCTCCTCGAACCAACTAAAGTGTCTAAAATTAAAATTAAAGTAAAAACACCTTTATAGTTTGCAGTATTTATTATCTACCACTCAAAAATATAATATTCTATATTAATACTTCTACTGAAATTGATACTAGCGAAATGTTATATTATTTAATTATTATATTCAATTCAATTACAAACAAATTAAGCTCTATTTCAGCTTGTCAATTAAACTCGTACAACGACCGATATTATATTATTATCGACACCTAATCATTTCACTGCCACATTTATTGTTTTTCTAGTATTTTTATACAGCTGCAGACATTGTAATATAGGAATTTAAGCATTATTTCTTTTGTACACAGGCCTAATTTTTGGTTGACAAAATTAAAGTCTGATCTAACCCATTCCACTTCAACCCATCGGAGAATTAATTGTATTTTGATTTTGAATATTAAATAGTAATTATTATTTTGATTAATATTTTTAAGTAGAACAAGAATAACGCGCGTGCTTAATAAAGCTACAGATATATATAGCCACTAATAAATTGCTATAATCTACATTATTTCTATTGAGTTATTATACTTTTTTGTCAAAACTATTACTAGCTCAAGCAATTGCAGCCTATTGTATATAGAAATCAAAATCAGTCGACTCAAAATAAAAAAGAGACATTTATACTAACAATATAATAATTAATAGTGTTTAAAATTAAACTCCATTGTTAAAACAATACGTAATTTAAATATTTCTAAATCTGGTATGTGTTTACTTTGCTGGCTCTCCGACGTAAGGCGTATTACCCGTCCAGGTTATTTTTGCATCTTGCCATCTGCAATGAAACATCCAATAAATATTCTTCTAGAAGGTAGGTAATCAGGATTCTCTTTTATTTTCAAAAAAAATAAAACGCCACGCTCTCGCAACTCGCAACCTGTCACTTGCAACCTGTCAGTTCCTTTGCTATCCTATCATATAAAAAGTGTAGACTATACAAAACCGATTCAACATAAATTACGACAAATAAATCAAGTTTGTACATAGCATTTAATCATGTTATTATATACAAGTCTAACGTGGAGGATTAAATTTATATTACAATTTTCTTTAAACTCTCAATAATGAATCTACAAAATTTTGTTATGTAACATAATAATATGACTTCCCTAAGGTTCATAATTAAAAGTTTGTATGAAACATGTTAACTGATACAAATTTCAGCTAAAACTTTAGGTTTCAGTCTTCTAATAACGTTATTTTAATAAATAAATAATATTAATTATTTTTTTATAAAAAGGCGTTCAGGTAACGAAGTGATCCGACTGAGACCTAACGTTGTCCACGTAGTCCAAAGGATTAGTAAACTGAAGCGGCAGTGGGAGGTCACATTTATCGAAGAGCCGATGACCGTTATTTTTTTTTTTTGTGAGGGGAAAATCATCAAATCACTTCTCCCGCCCAGGGCTGGGCAGGAGGGAGTGTCAGACTCTTACTGACTAAAAACCCCCCTGTTCCTTCTCCTCCTCTATGCCGAGGTCGCGGTGCCTCATTGCGCTTACCCCGCAACCCCGGCTGAAGCCGATGACCGTTGTGGTAGACTTATGTTCTGGAGTGGAGACATAGTATAGGCCACACTCCAGCTGGGTGGAGTATGTATAGAGGGGCTGGCACTGGTTGGATTATGACAAGCTGGACATCGAACTCATTAGCATGAAACTGGAGAGGCCTATATCCAACAGTGGATGAAATTAGGCTGGCACAATATTCAGGTAGTGGTGTCAAGGACGATTGAACTCTCATATGGTGTTTTTTTTTATTTTTTGCAAGTGGCATACTCAACAGAATGCTTTACTGTGCTCTTCAGGTAGTCCTCCAAGTCTTCGTACCTCTAGCTTATAGTCCACATAATTATAATTGAATTATGGCTTTTTGCAGCTCCCAATCCTTGCCTATCCTTTAAAAACAAAACTCTCACACATTCGACTGTCAAATTAATATATGAAATTTCATCCCCTGTTGAACAAACACCTTTTTACATTTGGACGTATGACCACGCTTGTTGAAGGTGGATTGCAGATTTCAAACTTATCAAAATATAGGATCCATACCGTTTTTCCTAACGATATTTTTTTGTACCTTACGTCACTGGCATCTAACAATGAAATAAGTCAGTGAGTTAAGGTTACACACACCAAGCATGCTTGAACACCGATTACCACGTACTCAAACCCCTGCAATATTGACTTATGTATTGCTTACTTTGTATGTATCAATTTCTCAAGCGGTGTAGCGCTGATGTCATCGGTTCGCAGCGTTCCAACCGCGTCGTCATGAGCCCGAGTGTCCACATTCAGCAAAACGTTGCAACCGCCACAGGTATAGTAATGTATGTCGAACCTTAAAACCAACAAGTTAAGTTTTAATTACTTTGTTTTGATAAAATATTCAAGTGTTATTGCGAGATTTTTATGTTATCAAAGGGTTTCATTTAAAGTTACATTGAGTTTAAGATGATGAAAAAATATCTACCTTAATGTAACGAATTCAAGGTTAATTTTCAAATGGACTAGTGTAACCTAAAAAAGTTTGATACCTTCGTTCAGCATGGTAGTTTCTTAGCAGTTCACGATTGGTGTTGAATAGAACTCCATAATGTCCAGAGCAACTAGTAACCTGAAAAATAATGCAATCACTAGGAAAAGAGTAGCCCAATAACATTATCATATTAGCTGCAAGACGCCCCCTACCTTGACCAAGGTTTCCCCACATAAGTACGCACCACATAGTAATGAAGCATAGTTACTAATGAATATGGCTGGTATTATTTCATGTTTTTAAAAACGAAATAATACATTTTGTAATTTACACACGGGACATGTCGTGCTTGTACTTAGATCTTCGACGACGTATTCAATGTTTTGTTTTCCACATTTAGTTTAATCACAGATAAACCAATAATTTTATAATTTATACATATTACCATACTATATAGTAAAACTGTAGGCTGGGCAACCAGCTGCCGTGCAACGTGTTGTGAATTCGATTCTCAAACGGAATAACTATTTGCCTTATCCACATTGTCGTTCCAGGTGATAGGTGTGTGAAATTCTTTGTGACATAGCTACATTAGAAAAAAAAAACCTAAAGCAGGGAAACGATTTTTATTTTTCTCTTTTTATGGAGTAGGTCGGCAAACGAGCAGACGGATTACCTGATGGTAAGTAATCAGCGCCGCCCATGGACACCCGCAATGAAGGAGTAACGAGTGCGTTGCCGACCTTTTAGGGATTAGGGTTTTGGAGATTTAGGGATTGGGAGGGATCGGGGGAGTACCGGAGGCCCAATCCTTCCCGATTGGGCCTCCGGTAACCTCACTCACGCGGCGAAACACAACGCTGTGGTTGTTTCACGTCGGTATTCTGTGAGTTCTTTAAAAAGGCTTATTTTCGTAGCCTAGAAAAAAAACAGGATTTTATTCCACTAACCCATATAGGAAGAGCTGGAGTCTTCAATCTGGATCCAGGGTACTGCTTATTAATATTGTTCTTGGAGTTTTCTTCCCCTCCATACCATACCAAAAGACCAACTGGACTTCGTGACAGTATACCAAATTGGGGCATGGCCTAAAATGAAATTAGCAATTAATCATGCAGGCTGACAAAAAAAAACATTTTGAGATATTTTGAGTTTGTCATAAAAATTTAAATAGGAATAATGAACACGCCAATAATTCAATACTTCCGTCGCCGCCGACGCCACAGATACAAGAAAGTGCGCGTGAATCGCGGCAGAGGGCGCGTCGGGCCTGTCAGTAGTCCAGAGTAGCCAGTAGATACGCGACAGTCGCCGCGTCGCGTGTCGCGGAAAGCTGCTCATGAATATGGGCCTCTAGCATGGCTTGAAACTAGTCGAGTATCTCGTCAAAACAATTACGTGAGTGAGCCGAAAACATAATAGTTAATTTAGTACGAGTATGTCTCACAAAAGTTATAATAAAAATTTAATACTTGTATAAATGTAAAAACAATAATTTATGAATTTCATATTCGGATATAATTTGGAACTTATGCTATGTTACATTGTTACTTGCTAGGTTTTAAACACCCACCTCATGTATGAGAAGCGAGTGACTTAACCTTCTGGCCACCATTACATTAATTCATTAGTGGTTAAAACTTGTGTATTGTATTAGTGGAAACCACTTGTATTGACTGACCCATTACTTCTATTCATTTGAATATAGTAATGTCTCGAAGTTCAAATTTAACGCGTCCTTGAATGCTGACGTCATTTGCTCTTTTTAATTAATTCGATTTGTCTTAATTACTTTTTTCCAACTTCTGGTTATTCGAAATCGATTTATTTTTCATACTTCTTTGCTTATTTTCTCGAAGAGGAAAATGTCTGTTAATTATTTCTTAATCTAAACTAATATTATAAATGCGACAGAAACTCTGCCTGTTATTTCTTCACGCTTAAACTACTGAACTGATTTCTATGAAATTCGGAATCATCAGTCATAGTTTGGAACTCGAGAAAGTACAGAAGATAGTTTTTTATACCAAAAAAAATCTGCAGGAAGTCACTATTCCCCGCGTACGGAGTCGCGGGCAAAGGCTTGTAATATATAATTCTTGTACAATTTTATTCAAAAGTCTATTACAAAATACTCTTTTTTTATACACATATAATAAGATACTCACATAGTGGTCTTCATCACCAACATACAGCACGCCATTATGAAGATACGGAGTAGCACGCCCAGTGAGGAGAAGCGTCACAATATTTATTGACCCCTCCACGTGTGCGGATACCAGATGGGTGATCTTACCATCGAGATCCTTCCTGATACTATACAAAAAGCAATTATTTAGAATAAAATTCATATGAGTACAGAAATGTTTTTGGGTGCTAATAGATTTAATGTGAAAAGCCGAAACAATTATTCCAATTAGACCTTTATAGGCCTTTCGAATTTCAAACAAAATATTTTTGTGTCAATCTGACGATCTCTCAATGAAGCTATTTGCTCGTTCCTAAGTGTATATTTCTATGAAGAAAAATTAGTAAGAAGCCCCATGGCTTCTATTTTTCAACCGGCTTCACAACCAAAGTCTTTTTTACATTACTAATTTGGAGCTTAATCATAATCTATACAATTCGCAGACTACTAGTTCAATTAGCTTTTTAGCCAATTAGTCAACAATCTGAATGACTAAACTTTTGATTGAATGGCTCAATTTCTTATTCAGGCTGTAAGTTGAAGAGTGAAGTGAGTGTCGTGAAAACCGAGATGCTTCCAAATTAGGCTAGGTTAGGTTAGAGCTGTGGACCGCACATAGATCGCAAATAAACAGCTACTCAAATTGTCCTACGATCAAAGAACTGTCTGTGACATATACAATACTTATTAAGTGTATTAAATAATAATAATTACTTATCACATCCTCTTGATAGCACGCAAGCATAGAGCAACAGCAATGCCCCTACGCCGTCCTCAGTTTGGAACTGTTAAAACAAGTTAAATTAGATTTAATGAAAATTATTTATTTGTATCAAAACACACATAATGAATGAAAAGCGTAGGTACTTCTTCTTAAAATGCTACGGACTTGTATTGCGGGTGTTCATGGCCGGTTGTAATTGCTAACCATCGATGCATTAATCTGGCCATTTGCCTTCATATCCATAAAAAAAAATGCATGCAAAGATACAATATTTATTCACATTTAACCAATTATAAACTTTATTCCCATGTTTAATATACATATTTTGAAAATAATACTCACCAAATATAAATATCGCTTCAGAAATATTTGAAGATCGTCCAAAGTAGTGAATTCGAAAATATGCAGCTTGCAACAGAATTGAAATTATGAAAATATCTGAAAATCAATTTAATTTTAAATAATTTATTAAATTAGGAGATATTCTTTTGAAAAATTTTTAGATTACATTTCGTTCTGTATTGTTAGATGTTTCTGATTTACACACATGGTCCTTCCATTGACCTTCTCAACTACTTCTCCCATCGTGGGTTGGGCGAGAGGGAGTTTCATATTCTTACATGGCTTAGAGCCAAAATGCGTTACATTATTGTGATTGGTCTGGCTGGAGAAAGCAGTATCTAGAGTATATCTCTCTCTCGCCGGTTTGTAATAAAACTGAACTAAAACTGTGAAGAAGACGCATGGCCCAGCAATTTCAAGGTCATCTATAAATATAATAACAAAAAACATACCTTCTCAGTAACTCCATCCTGATAATACTGAGAGCTGTGCTGCACATAACAGTGGTCGGTTGGTAATGCCACCACTGCTTTCGGATCCACTCCAGCTTGACTAGAGTTTCCACCACCACAGCGCCAAATCACTTCACTGCACGCACGCCACAAGGCTTCCTCCTGACGCTCCTCTGAAGGTCGAAGGTACCTGGAAGTGAGGTTCGTAGATTGTTAATGATACTAGAGATAATTGCAATATTATAGCTCCAATTCTCCTTCATGATTGCACAAATAGGCAACGAGTTGCCAAAAAAGGTGTGGGTGAGTGAGAGAGATTAGCACGAATGGGCCTGTTCGACAGGTGTTATATCCCGGCCTCACGAATTCCGGCGTGAAACAACGCTTGCACTGTGTATCCTGATGTGAGTGTATTTGAGTGAGGTTATGGGTGATCCAGCTTTCGAATGGTGAAACCCTTAACAATCCCCGAAAGGACAGCAGCGGACTTCTAACGGATTTGCTTTTGCAGATTTTATACCAGCTTTCATCCGGTATTCGTCTGTTCATTACATCACATCACTACGACTTTTACATTTTTATGGGGGGAAAATCATCAAATAACTTCTCTCGCTTATTGTGGTATTAGACTCTTACTGTCCCTCCCCCCTATTCCTTCTGCTGCTTTAGGCCAAGGCCGCAGTGCCTTATTGTACTAGTCCCGCATGGATATCTAATATCTTATCGTATTATTAGCGTTATTTTGTACTGTAAACATTAACGCTTCGCTATCCGGGAGTCAAGATTCACACTGTATAGAAAAAACACATTTAACAAAACATCACCTGAATCAATATCTCGTGAATAGAACAATCATAATATACACCAAACAATTTTTGATAAAGTAAAATGATTAATCAAAACAGATTTGCGTCTGAATGAGTTCAGACGATAAATTTTCAATGGATCCCTTCTTAGCCATTACAATAAATTACAATACTGTTAGTGTAATCCGACTTTGGCAACAAATTATTTCAAAATATTCTATTATTACGCTAAGACGACCATATTATTTAAAAAAAAATATTATTAAAAAAACAAAATACCCGACTGCACACTAAAAAAGAGTAAAACAAGCCCCACAATACAAATTTACTGAATATAATTTATAAATGTTGATGGAAAGCATCGCAGGCGGGGACCAACAGAGGCTTATTTATAGTCATTTCTGTTGTGCACCATTTAGCAGAATTTTCGTTGGTGGCGGTCAAGGTGGTCCCCGCCTGCGATGCTTTCCATCAACATTTATAAATTATATTCAGTAAATTTGTATTGTGGGGCTTGTTTTACTCTTTTTTAGTGTGCAGTCGGGTATTTTGTTTTTTTAATAATATTTTTTTTATTTATAACTTCTTAGCTGTTTTTTTTATTTAACGAAAATGTTGTAGATGTAGAAGACTATGTATATGTAAGTACCATTTTTCCCGTGGGAATTTTGAGAAAAAACGTATCCTATATTAATTACTCCCGTGATTGAAATGAATCTAATGATACCGCATACATATTTTTTTAAAGGGAAATTTAGAAAAAATATTATTATGTCTTTATCCCGTGGGACTTTTAGGATATAATGTATCCTATGACACTCCCGTAATCAAGACAAATCTAACGATACCTCATACATCAAAATCCATCAAGCCGTTTAGGCTACAGGAGGTCACAAAGGAAAAGACATACATACATACTTACATACACTCGAAAAACATTACCCTCCTTCTTTGGCAGTCGGGTAACAAATGGTTTATTATTCTCTTGAATGGGGTATTTTCGAGAGCATGCCAGAACTTTTATATGTTCGCCTAAAGATCTACCCTCTACGTCTATCGTCTGGCTTAGACTCTTAGTTACCAAAGTACAATTAAGTGTGGGAGAGCCATGCTTCGGCACGAATGGGTCGGCTCGACCGGAGTGATACCACGGCCTCACAGAAAACCGGCGTGAAATAACCACTGCGTTGAGTTTCGCCGTGTGAGTGAGGTTACCGGAGGCCCAATCCTTCCCCTTCCCCAATCCCTAAATCTCCAAATCCCTAATCCCTAAAAGGTCGGCAACGCACTCGTAACTCCTCCGTTGCGAGTGTCCATGGGCGGCGCTGATTGCTTACCATCAGGTAATCCGTCTGCTCGTTTGCCGACCTATTACATAAAAAAAAAACAATTCTTCTTCAAACTTTAATTTATATATTATACGTAATTCCTTTTCAAGACATACTAAAATACATCAAACCTGCGACCTTTGAGAAATAATAGTAAGATATAGTAATTTGTTAAAATGAATTCTAAACAGTAGACCAAAACTTGAACATCGAATATTTCGACAATAAAATGTAAGATTTCATATGAAGAAAATCTTCCATTTTTAGGTCGGCAAATGATCAGATGGTTTACCTGGTGATAAGCGGCACCCATGGACGACCGGAACATCAGAAGAATGATTGTGGGCCTTTTGCGGATTAGGCCTTCGGCGATTTAGGGATTGGGGAAGGGGAAGAAGGATATACTCCTCTAGCCTCCGATAATCTCACTCACAAAAAGAAAAACTACGCTGTAGGTATATCACGCCGGTTTGACGAGGCCGTGGTATCACACCGGTCGAGCCGACCTATTTATTCCAAAATATGGCTTCCCCATACTATTGCTATAAAATCTACTTCTCCTGCAATAATATACGGGATATTTGAAATATACAGCGACGCCAATAGTGAGACCATAAAATCGACCATTTGATCTAAAATATTGTTCGACGATGCATAGTGCAGATTTATGCCAAAACACGTGGCGTTCTCTAGAATTATGATCGGTATTTTGAAGCAATGCTGTATGCCTTTGCGCAGAGAATTTTCGGATTATTATGAGGAACGATAATAATAACAAAGAAATGAATTGTAAAACTGTTTGAAAAAGTGTAACCATGGAGTTTCTTGCTCGTTCTTCTCCATAGGAATCTACACTTTGGAACTAGCAAATAGCTTCACTAGAGGACAGACGGACATACTGACACGCTTAAAGTTAAAGCTTTTGAAATACTGTTTTTGCTTGACGTTCAAAAGTGCCTTCTGTGGTCTAACTGAAATAAATGATTTTGACTTTGACTTCGACTTTATCTTCCTCCAAAAATTGCTTTATGAGCGAGAGCTATGCTTCGACAAGAGTCTAGATCGAGATTGATTGAAACAACGCATGCTTTGGTTTTAACCGCGTGAGTGACACATCACCAATCTTCAAATTCCAAAATACCCCTAATGGCCTGTAATCACCTGCTCTTTGTCTCTCTATGCCATCCAAATATTAAGGAGGCTACACTTTTTCGGCTCTATTATTATTTCCTTGTCACAAGTACCAACGTGATATTTTATAAGTTATACTATACACATCTTTGCAAAGTATACTTAAACACCACTTACAAATGGTAAAGAAAAAGATCGTGAGTAAGCCAGGACTGATAAGGTTGAATCACCAATCCGCTTCGAGGAAGCGAGATGATAAATAATGAAACCTTCTCTTTGTGAGAAGAAACCTTTGCTAAGCAGTGAAGCAGACTTACAGACTGAAAATGATGGTGATTCATAACCGTACCAAGGAATAAACTTGATCAATACTATAAACCGATAAAGTTATAATATTAATAATAGTTATATTATTAATACTCTTAATTAAAATTGGGACTAGTGACATAATGGTGAAGCACTGTTGTAACAAAAGTTTATGTATTTCGAACAAAAGGCGGGTGGGTCAAAGTATTAAGCCCTACCTACAACTTTACTATGGAATAAAATTATCAATTAGGTAGTATGTACGGCTTAAATGATTTTCCGTTGAAATTTTAAGCTTTACCAACCCAACCGTTTGTTAGTGGTAATTCAATAGAACGACCGAATCAATTAGCCGTTGTGTATTACATTCGATCCCAAAATTGAACACGATTGTGGCGATGAAAAATTTCGGTCATGTGGTTATTAAATGAGGATGTCAACAAAATATTGGTGAAATAACAGAAGTAGTTAGTAATATACTGGGAAGTAGTGGCGAGGTATACCACAGTTTTCAGATAATATTGTAGTAGTTGACAACTCAATTATGTACCCCAAATAAATTCACTGTCCACAAAAATGCAGTTTGGTTAAACCATGCTTCGGCACGAATGGGCGGGCTTGATCGAAATCATGTCGCAGCCTCACAGAACACCGACGTGAAGAAACCACAGCTTCTTTGTATTTCGCCGTATGAGTAAGGTTTGTGGAGCACCAATCATTCTCCCAAAATCCCAAAAACGCCACCAACGCTTTTGCAGCTCCTCTGGTGTTAAAAGAAATCTGTTCTGTATCTATACTAATATTATAAAGAAATAAAATTTGAAAGTTTTTAATTTGTATGTAGGGGGTAATTTTTGGAACCACTGGTCGGATTGCTAAAATTCTTTCACTGATATATAGCTACAATGTTTCTGAGTGCTATAGGCTATGAAACATCACGCTACAATCAAACGGAGCAGCAGGCGAAACCGCGCGAGAGAAGCTAGTCAATTGTATTATATGTAAAGTTATAAAATTGAAAATCGGTAATTGGATCTATGGTTGATTTTAAGTACTTATGTTAAGCAAATGTTGTGAGCTGTGGATTTTGTGATAACAATAAATTAATAAATAAAAATGAAATGAAAAATCCATTGAAGTTTCTCCCTAAATATAATAATATCCGTAAGTATATTAATGCCCATAGCACTGCAGTCAAACCAAATAGGCGTCAATATTACACAAATATCTCGATCCTCAAGATAATCACTTCCCCACTCCAGAGGAAAGCGTACTTCCAAACGGGCATCGTTTGTTATAACCAGGCATGAGTATGAAAGGGAACGCTTGTAATTTTTATACCAAACACCCCTGGGTTAGAACAATATTGTAAGAACATTTTTATAAATATGATGAATTGATGATTATACATATAGTAAAATGCTATGTTTCTTTACCATGTGGTTATGCAATACTTCTTACTGACATTTTTCTGGAGACACGCCTTATCGTATCCTAATTGATTTGGCGTATTATGGCGTTATTTGTACCTTTTATCATAATCCTCTAAGTGGATTTTTAACTGTAACAACAATTAATTAAAATATTTCCTAACAATACAAATGAGATTTAAGACATTACTTCTAGAATATTGAAAAAGTTAGTAGCTTCCAACTGATAATTTCTTGGCATTAACTTACTAACAATTTAATCAGCACTTCAGTGTCGAACAAACTGTGAATACATATAGAAGATAAGAAACATATCTACAACACCAGAATAAATAAAATAAACCTGTACGTCAGAATCTGAACGCAATGGGACTAGCTTTCTGACGTGTGACGGCGCGAGGCAGGCGCTGAGGCTCGAAACCACTGCAATAATTTTCAGCACCACCAAGTATGCCATTTACATATAAAATAAATTTAACTTAACTAACGCTGTATGAAGCTAAACTTGAGGACAACATGATAATAGAAAAAGAAACCACGTACTCTTTGCGGTAAAAGAGCAGACGTATTACCTGATGGTAAGCAATTGGCACCACCTCGGAACACTCCTAACACCAGAAGAGGTACAAGTGCGTTGCCAGACTTTTGTGGATTAGGGATATCATAAGATCCGACGATCTAGATAACAGTTCTCTAGGCAAATCTCACTTTTCTATAAAAGATTCATACTCCATTGGACTGGAGTCCAGTCTTAGTGATAAATAAGTGCGAAAAGAAAGGCTTGTAATTTTAACACCAACATTTGTCAAAATAGAACAACATGCTGATGCCATTTTTGTTGCTTTTTTTATGTTGATGAAGTTATCGGTATTGCGTTCGGCTGCTCACGTGATTAATATCATGTAGCATCATGTAAACTGTATTTTGTATGTTACATGGCGTAGTAAAAAATGATCTGTTTTACGTTGAATATGAGATTTTGGAATTTTAAATAGGTTTTTTTTTTATATTTACTTGGATTCGGAACAATTTTTCTTTTTCCATTGTCCCCTATCAGATGTGTTGCTGTTACAAATTCTTTTGTTTTTTGTCATCCTACTTTTATTAGACGTGTAAACGTTAGGAAGTATGGCGGTATTTATGCCACTTTCACGTAAAAACTACAAAATTGATTTTAATGAAAGTTGATACAGATACAGTTTGTTGTCTGAAATTTGTTGTCTGAAATTTGTCTGAATCTGAATTGTTGGCTATCTTTCTTTCTGCTTCTACTGGCAGAAGTGGTCCTACATAAAGTCTATCGTTTATTCAGCCATATATAATTACTACTAACTAGTATTTGGTACTTGTTTTATGACATGGTTTTCTTTCTTTCTCATTCTTCTCTTATATCCATACTAAGAGAGTAAATCACCTTTCTGTTTTTCTTTGACCATTCTACATTAACCGTTACTACAGCATTCAGATGTTACTCTATATACGAGTGAAGTCAATTTATTTAGTATTAGATTAGAAAACGAATTTACAACATAAAGTTTATTCTACTCACGTATCTGGAGGGACATCGCACTTATTGTCCTTTGTCTGTGGCCTCGAATCGAACAGCAGCCACTTGATTACATGAGCTTGAAGAGCTGACAGCAAAGATCTGTATAAAACGAACGATCTTAAAAACATTAGGAACAAAACCATTTTCAATCTTATTACGTTTTTGTAATACAGTTGAAAATTAAACAACTATTGGTTTTAATCAGAGAAGTTTTTAGCAGTTTGATGTTGCTGATTGATATTATCAAGCTGCAACATATTTTTCTGTTTGTAATATATTTTTATACATATATATTTCTGTTATAAATTATTTTATGGTGTAGTAGTGTCAATACTTTATAATATTATTTTCCAATACTTTGATCTACCAATAGTCAATTGCTATAAAAAATACCATTTGTTTTTTTAACTATAGTTACTTTATTATAGTCTTTTCTTCAATACTTGAATGCAACTGAATAAAATGATACGATACCTAGCCCCATTTCTTGGAGCCGCCAGTCCATAACCAAGTGGCTGATCAGGAGGTCTCATTACCAATGGAGTACGTATCCATTCTCCTCGCGGTGGGCAAGATGTTGAGCTGAAGCAGGTGACCCGAAGTTCCTGAACAAAAATAGTCATAACGATTTTAATGAAATTTGACACCAAACATTTTTTATGCAAATTATAGTTGCGGAGCCACGTTTCAGCAGGAATGCTTGACTGAGGTAATACCGCGGCGTCAAAGAAACCGGCCTGAAACAACTTACGTTGCCCGACGATATGTGAGTGTCCAATCTCTCCCCTATCCCTAATCCTGAAATCCCTTGTCCTTAAATCCTACGCAATTGTAACCCTTTGGTATTACGGGTGTCCATGGGTGGCCGATTGCTTAACATCAGGTAATACATATGCTCGTTTACCGACACAAAAATAATCTCAGTCGCATCGCAGCAGTTATGGTCGCAAATAAAAATATACTTACAAAAAAACTGTAACAAATTTATAAGAATATTAATATATGGTCCTAACAATCCTTACATGCGTGATAAAGGACCAAAAGCTAATTGTAAACGTTCTAAATATAGAAAACGAATCACAGAAGGACTAACAAAGACCAGGATGTTCACAATATACTCACAGCCGCCAACTCTTCAGTTATCGGCTTTCCACCGACCACAGCTGGTCTAGCCCCATTCAATAACTTGTTCCTCGCGTACAGAACGCGCTCTGAAAAGGATTTATAGTTTCATTCCTCTGTTCCAAAAGACAGCTTTCAATTTTGTTAGGAATTAATGCCTCTGAAAAATACGACAGGTAAAAGGTAGTTGGATTTTATTGTTATAGTAAAGCTGTCAGAATAAATAAAATAAAACAATAACTTGGAAATAAATTGAGGATCATATTTTTTTTATTGTGTCGTTGTTTTAATTTTGTTTTGTATTTTTTACATATTATGTAGCTCAAAACCAAAGAGTTTAGTAGTTTAAAAATAAAACACTGGTACGCAAAAATAAATTGAAATTACATAAAAGAACATAATATTATATTAATCCATATAAATGACGATTTCAAGAATATAACCAGCAATATTCGTAATTTCAAAAGGTATTCAAGTATCACATTTTTCTTTTCCATATACCTGTCCAAGAAATCCTTACTTTCTCACATAAATGGACCCCCTTTGAATCCTGTTAGCTGAACCATTGTTAGGATCACAATACATTCCAATTACGAAGGTTTCTTACCAGATTTTTGCTGCCTCCGTAACTTAGAATGTATTTAAGAAAAAATAACGAAAGAAAATGTAATGGACGATGGCGTCGCATGATTTTGTACTTGCAATAGCTTTAGAAGATTTTATATTCTTTTATTTAATTCTTAATTTTATTTTGTTCTGTTGGTGGATTTTTATATATTTTTATTCTTTTGTATTGTCTTTTTCAATTATAAATATACGAGGCACATTATCCCTGGAGGGTTTGGAAAAAAAGATGGCCATTAGTGCTGAAAACCTCAGCAATTTGGATCACCCGCAGAAAAATGTCACAATAGATTTCCGCAAGGTAATGCTTGGGCCCATCAATTACCAAGCAGAATGATAAGACGGATTTTACTTTTAGGTAAGCAAATAACTTTAAGTATATGAAAATACTATTACTACCTGAATTTTGGCCTTTATATTTTTTGAGTTTAGGAGATTCTACAAAAAAATGAAGTGTGCAATGCTGCGGCACCCACGACCGTATTGATACCACAAATTCACAAAAAAAAACAGCGTTAAACAACGCTTGCACTGTATTTCATCATGTGAGTGAGGTTACCGGAATTTAAACTCTCCCACCTCAGTCAGCAGCTAATCCCCAATTCTAAAATTTATATTTTATCTCATCGTCAAATTAAGGATGCACTCGTAACTTCTCTGGTCTTGGGGGTGTAAATGGGCGATTTCTTACTCTCCACACACAAAAAAACATACACTGTTCTTTTTTGGTAAAATAATAAAGTGGGAGGTTAAATTAAAAAACAGTGCTGTTAGCCTCTCCTGAAAAATCTGTAGTAATTATTCGTCGTTACATAAGCAGATAAATGAAAATAGTCGAATTCTTAAAGAATTTACATAGCAACATTCCCCAAACGTTTTTCTGTATCAAAGGTCCAAAATTGGATCCAATCGAATTTAGAGTACCTCAATTTGTCTTCATTTATTTTGATCTTGACCTGAGTAGTCTTCAAGCGACTGTAAATAAATTGGATGTAGGGATTTAAATTATTCTGAGCAGCGTTCTCTTGTATCCTTATACATATACGTTCATTCGCGAAATGTGAGCGAATCTTAAGAGCTTTATGAGATTTCTCGACAAAAATGAAAATTTTCCGTAAGATGCTTTACAAATGATTTTGTATGGTTGAATTGTTAAATCATAATAACATTCATAGCAGAAGAAGATGAAGAATAAAATTGGAAGATAAGTTTCTCATGAATATTTCTCATTAATAAAGAATTAGATTGAAGCGTGAAGATAAAATTGACTGATCGGTTAGGGCAGTGGCTTGGTTATCGACTGTTGCGCAGTGTGCCACTGGTTCGACTTCCCTTCCGTCTTTGTATGATCCATAAATTTGTTGTACCTAGTCTGGGTAAAATATGCATGCGATTGCCTAAGTTTGTAGGTTCGTATCGGAGAAAATTATTGAGCGAGGATAATATTTTTGTTTAAGGTTAATAACTAGTAAACCGATTTTAATGAAATTTGGGACTCAGACGCGACATATCACGGAGAACGAAAATACTCTTATTTACATTTTTAGCCCTTAATTTTTTTGAACTTCCCATAATTTTGGATTTGAAAATATGCATGGAAAACCCGGTTCGCGTGAATGGTTTTCCATACTTAAATAGTGATTTTAATGTGTAATTCTTGAGAAATATCGGAAATAACAAAGCAAACAAAATAAATTGTACTCTTTGTTTTTACCTAATATATAATTTGTTGTACCTAAGATTGAAGTAAATCAGAGTTGTCTGAAAGTAGATTGCCAAGTCATTGTTTGCAAAAACCGCAAGTTGATATTTGGACGGCGGTGTTCGTGGGAAAATGCAGGTGAACCTTTGTTCAGAATTATTTATAAAGAATTAAAAATGTATACACCGCATCACAACTAAAGAGATTATTTATAAAAATAGTTTTATATCTAGAAATCTTTTTAATGTGTGAATAAATTGGATTATTTTAGTAAATCTAAAATTATAGTGAAATATGAATTAAGTTATATATTTCGTTTTATTACTAGATAATAATTACAGCGAGCAACTGTTTGTAGCATATTTGTACAAAACGAACGCCAGAACCATACAGATAAGATTTGGCTAACCAACGTGCTTTCTTGTCGAATTTATGAATGCCTGTTTCATAATCCCAACATAAAGAGCCACTATGCATCAGACAAAATTTAATTATAACGTAACTTTTATTACCTATTGGACAGAGTCTTTAATCGGGTACTTATATGTAGGATATGAAACAAGCGCTAAGATAAATATAAAAAAAATAGTCCCACCATAATATTCTTCTTGCGAAGTACCGAGGACGGTCTTCCGAAGCACACTCTCTTGAGACTGGTAGCGAAAGTACAGGTAATGCTGTGATGCATGCATCTGTTCCAACTGTCCAGTAGTAACAGATCTCAACAATTTGAAGGACACTTGGAAATAACGAACCCAACAAGCCAGCTCTTTAGATCCAATGAAATTGGACGCGAGTTTCCAAAGTCCACGTGAGGCAAGATGGACACTTGAAACGCTAATTTGTTTTCGTGTTTGATAATTTTGAAATTTAGAATTAAATTGCCGTTAGAAATCAATGAGCTTTTATTTTATTTTCTACGAATAATAGCAGTTAAGATAAAATTTAAAAATTAATTACATATTTCTGATTAGGTAGGTTTCGAGTTTGCAGTGACCGGGGAATTGGAAATATGAATTTAGAAAATCCCAAATTGCAATCTCCGCACTTGAAAAATATGTCCAATTAGGTATTGTTTCTTAATTATTAAACTCGTGAGTCCAGAATTTGATAGCACCTCAAAATATTAAGGTCACTTTATCCTTTTAAGTTAAGAAAATTTTGTCAAACATTCTTGAACTTCAGAAGAATGAGAATGCAATATTGACACCACACAAGTCGAAGATATCAGTACAATTGAATGCAGAATGGACTTTTCACTTGAATATGTAGTGTAAAGTAGGTGGTGTAATTGTATTCGTGCCACACGCTCGTTCAAGGGCAAGAAACATATAAGCGATATATTGGCTATTGAAGGCTGCAATAGTGTGAAAGTACAGATAGATGCAGAAAACGTTGAGTTTGAATTTGTTTTTTTTTAAATAAAATAAAAAAAGATTTTAGTTAGAATTGGCATGATAGTTGAATGCTACTGATATCTTTATTATCTATTGCAGACAAAAAAGGTATGTTCTGTATAAACTTTAATTTTACGTCACCAAACGAATAAGAAAATTAAAGATTCTTTTGAACTGAATACTTAATTAATTGCGGAATGAACATGGTTTCTTTTAGTTCTTTTAAGGTCCTCTTTTTGCAGTAGAATAATAGGATTCGTAGATCAAGCTAAAGTCTAATTTCATTGAAAATAGATATAGGTGATCGCCACGACGCGTACAGTTCATATGGATAAGAGTCCCGTTCAGACTTGAGACTAGTAGAGCTTTTCTCGATTAATTCACGAGAGTAAGGCGTTATTTTAAATAAAACTAATAAATATCGCGGTAACTACAATACAAAATAGCAAAGGTCACTTAGAGTAATTTTGTGCAAGAATGATTAAAATGACTGGTAATTGTTTACATTATTAATTCACGAATAAATTAATAAATATCGAAGTCATTGCTTTAACAAAGGTTTGACGTGAAATATAAAAAGATGTAGAAGAGTTTACCCCTGACAGTTCCTTGCAGGTAAATAAACATTTTAAATTAGATGCCAATCATTGTGGCTACTGCGTCAAGATCAATAAATCAGGTATAAACGGCATAATATGACTTCAGCTAGCATTAAGCTACGTAGCTCATTGTTAGTTCGTCGTAATGATGATTACACAACTTAAAAAATCCTATTTCATATTTGAATAATGTTTTAGCAGCTATTTACGTTATGATTTTAAAATTAACACCATTTTTCTTCAGTAATGGCAGTGTGCATCAACAGCTAGACTGATTTCGATTATTTGTCTTGACTTGACTTATGCTGTGTTTGCTAAAGCCAGAAGAAGGTTGTTATATAAACCAAAAAACGTTGAAGGAAAGAAAAACCAGGGAATCGCAACTTTATAGATGCCACAGTGGTCCTCTAAAATGAATGAAACTGAGTTGTACATCCATGCGTAGCAAGACTGGTCTGCTAGTCAGCAATAATGGTTTTATAAAACATAGGAAGATCAGAAGCAGATAATGAATTTTGGTATTCGAAATTAACTCAAAGTAACGTAAGATGTTAAAATGCTTTGAATGTCTTTAAATTTCTAGCAGTGATATATTGAAAGTGTACTTTTTATATACAATAATTAAAAATATTACCTTCATAAGGAACTGGAAGGCCTTCCCGATTGTTTCGAAGCATCGCTCAAAAATAACTAAAATAAAATATTATAAGCATTGATTTTATGTATTTTACTGATAAGTATTTTGGAAAAAAAGTGTGTTTGTTGAATTGATATCATATCCATAAATTTCATTCATTTAAAGATTTACAACCAAAAAGTTACATGATTAGAAACAATTTAGACAACCACTTGCCAGTCAATCTTCATCATAATGACGTGTCAGCCAATCAAATTGTTCAAAATAACAATAAGCCCAAAATGAGAAACCACAAAACTTACCTGCCACGTCAAAAGTAGATCTTAACACAACTGCACAGAGTTCAAAAGATTAGTGAAATGATGCAGAAATAATGCACGTCAAACCAGCGTAGGTGATTGTTTGGAAATGGTTGCATTTGCTTGACGCCGTTGCTTTGCACATTATAATGTAGATAAGCTTGGATCGTACCTATGTGTTAAATAAAACTGCACTCAGTCAGTGGATGAGGCAGTTTTGATAATACTAGTTTGCGATAGTGGAATATTTTTGGTGTTAACAAAATCTTGATAAGTTCTAAGAACTACTTTTATGGTTATGGGGCTAATAAATATGAAGATAAGCGTTTAATAAAAACAGAAGGCTTAGGAGATTTAAAGTAAAGAATAAATATATTGTATTTAAATATAAAGAAATTGATTTAGATGTCAGAATAATAAATTACAAAGAATAGTATGTATGTGTAAATGGCACTAGAATTTTTAACTTTTTATCTTCGTAGATATTTATAACTACCATTCCATAAAAAGTTCCTAAATTGTCTCGAAAAATCTGTTGCTTTTAGATAAAAACAATGTAAAATGAAATAAAACAGCAAATATTTTCAATAATTGCTGCATTCAATAAAAATGTTGAGCGCAAAACTCGCGAGCGTTTTGAACAAAATAAGACAGAACAAAAAAACAATATCAAAAACTTATCCATGTTCAGTGAACTGTGGACTTGATTTAATATTTAAGTTCTGAAAAACATATCAAGTGAGACGTAAATCCCAGACCAAACTTTGTATAATGTACCTAACACGACTATTATTTGTCCCCCGTGCCACCTACCGACCTTATAGGAAATTAATATTTTATTTTTAGCGCCAATATCGAGCGTGTGTTCGTGTATCGGAGCAATAATATGGCGCGCCCATATTTTAAAATGGCGTCAGGAACGAATTTAAAAAAGACCGTTACGTTCGATGCGATTTTAGAATTGTTTTTCTATTTTGATTTACGATGTTTCATTCTTTATTTGTCAGATCCCATGCAGGTTTTGGATTTCGATAAAAATAAAACTTTACGGTAGTAAATCTTTTTGTATTTTTTTTGGTAATAAAAAAGTGGAATTCTGAATGTTATTCGGAACAGTGCACCGGACAGTACATTTCTGTAAAATCTTTTTGTATATTTTCTAAAAATTACTACTAGAACTAGAACGTATAACGCGTAACTAATATTCTTGCAGAAAGTTAAAATCGGTAAAATAAACAGAAATCTATGTAGGACTGCACAGTTGGCGCGGTGGCTGGGCAACTGGCTGCCGTGCAACGTGTCGCGGGTTCGATTCCCGCACGGAACAACTCTTTGTGTGATCCACAAATTGTTGTTCCGGGTCTGGATGTACATCACACCCGTGTATGTGAATTCCTATGTTTGTAAACGCACCAACGACACAGGAGAAAACCTTAGTAAGGGGCAACGTTTTTTTTTTAAAAAAAAAATGTGCAAACTTTTTTTAGTTGCTTAATATAGTAAAATAAGAAATCGTACCTTTTCGATTTAGTTTGTTCTTGTGTGTAGCCTGCATGATTTGACCTGACGAGGAACTACTGTCTAATGGCAATTAGGAAACTCAGTCGATGACTTTAGTACCCAAAATATTACCTTTTGTGTCGAAATTTATAAGAGCAAGCGGAATTTCAATAGATTTTATCGAGCCAAAATTATTCGATTTATGGAGCAAGATACGCTTTTTTACCTAAAACTATCTTGGGGCCCTCAAATTTAATTCAATATTTTCTGGCAGTTCCATTTGGCGCTGTTCCTGTTGAGAGTTTTGCGGTTTGATTTTAGATCATACTCCGGGATTTGACAAGGTATCATTGATACTTTAGAATTTAAGCAGTTTTTTTTTGTCTGAGGAAAATCATCCAATTCCTTCTCCCGCCCAGGGTAAGGCAAAAGAAAGTGTCAGACTCTTACTGACTAAAAACCTCCCGTTCCTTCTTCTCTAGGCTAAGGTCCCGGTGCCTCATTGCGGTTATTCGGAACCCTGGAAACAGGCAAATATTTGAAGTGATATGTAATTTCTAAGATTATTTAAATACCACTGCCGGAATACATAAACAACATCAGTTTAAAATTGCCCAATTGCTAGAGCAAGCGAGGTGCTTAAACAGCAAATCTGTAGGAGGGTCTCACTTCAGTAGTAAGTATATGTAGGTGGATAATGATGATAAATCTACAAATGATGAAGTCGCTTGGAAAAAATGGAGACAGTCGCCAAACTCATATATTTATACCAAACTCTAAATTCAAAGTGCGATGTTATGCACCCACCAAATTAATCGTTGAGATAAGCACTATGTTTGAGGCAAAAGATCTTGAGTTTGTCCGACGACAAGTTAATTTAAATTCATAAGTTTGATGATTTAAGTATGAGAGAGCTATGCTTCGGCACGAATGGGTCGGCTCGACCGGAGTGATACCACGGCCTCACAGAAGACCGGCGTGAAACAACCACAGCGTTATGTTTCGCCGTGTGAGTGAGGTTACCGGAGGCCCAATTCTTCCCCGCCCCCAATCCCTCCTCAATCCCTAAATCTCCAAATCCCTAATCCCTAAAAGGTCGGCAACGCACTCGTAAATCCTCCGTTGCGGGAGTCAATGGGCGGCGCTGATTGCTTACCATCAGGTAATCCGTCTGCTCGTTTGCCGACCAATTACTATATATAAATTGAAAAATAAGCAATATGTCATCAACTTGAATTTAACGATCACACTTTAAAACATCATGTGTATAGAATTCGAAACATTAAGTCCTAAAAGATCATCAAATTTCAATTAATTATTTTTATGTTTTACTTACTTAGTTTTTGTTTTTTTCTGCTAATTTAAGAGTAAAAGTTTGATATATAATGCAAAAAATGTGACGTCACAACGTGCTATATTATATTAACATCAAAGAAAATTGTCATTGATGCAATTATGAAAAAAATCTTTTTTAACATTTTTTTTTAATTTTGTCGTATGATGTCCTGTCCATTTTAAACCCAAAGTTCGAAACCCTAACAACTCCTACAATGACAACAACAATACAAAGACGGTCTAGAACTCATGTGGAGCGGAAGTCGGCACAGCACTCGGTAACTCCTACGTTATTTAGGGTGTCCATGGACGGTGCAGATTGCTTACCATCAGGTAATCCGCAAACTCGTTTGACGTTCTATCACATGAAAAATATTATTATTATTTCCATATCAAAAACTTGGGAATTAAAAATTTGCATACATCCAAGTATCAAAACCAACAATGGAAATTAAAGCAATCTCACTGAACTGCTAAACGGTGTATGCCACGAAGGTGTTTTGAAGGTTATCCACCATGAATACGCGGAAATATCACACGTAGCGAGGTACAGTTAATGCCATAATGTAGCTGTGATTAATTGTATCCATATGTTCAAGGTTCATATTTCGATAATACATATTCATATTGTGATCGTTGCGAAATTATGTAAGTACTCTAAAAAAGTGGCTCAATTAGTTTAATGCGATAGAAGGGCAAATAAGCAGGCAAATTGTCTGATGGTAAGCAAACATTATTGCATTTCCTACGGACAACCATTAAGGGATTTTTTAGAAGTTTGACAGATCAGGGATGGAAAGGGCGAGGGAGAATCAGAAAACTTACTCACACGACGATATAAAACGTTGACGATATAATTCCAGTTACCTACGACACCTGCTAAACCAGGCAGTTCGTGAAGCATTGCCAGCTAGCTATTGGGGGTTAGAGATTTGAGAATTATGGATTTGGGGATCGGATATTGGGAGAAAGGAGGATTGGGACTCCATTTATCTCACTCACACGGCGAAATATAATGCTGAGGTTCTTTCATGTCCCTTTGCTTGATTCCGCTGTATCACTGCAGTCAAGCCAACTGCGGACCATTCATGCCATAGCATGAACCCCCCACACCTTTCAAAGTCAAATAATTTATTTCAAGTAGACCACTATAGGTAGTTTCGAAAGACAAAGAAAAAAGTAGGTAAAAAGAACAACTTCGTGTGTCAGTATGTCGGTCTGTCTTCTAGTGAAGCTATTTGCTCGTTCCAAAGTGTAGATTTCGATGGAGAACAACGAATAAGAAACTCCATGGTTACTCTTTTTCAATCAGTTTCTTTAAACACTGTATTTACTTACATACACTGTATATATTTAAATCGGTAACTTTTAACATATATTATTTAACTAGCTACTCTCACGCGGTTTCACCCGCTGCTACACTCCATTTGATCGTAGCGTGATGTATTATAGCCTATAGCACTTGTAGGAACTTGTAGCTAGCTACCAGTGAAAGAATTATGCATGTCCGACCAGCGGTTCCAAAGATTACCCCCTACATACAAAGTTACAAATATACAAACTTACAAGCTCACAAATTTTACCTCTTTTTAACCGACTTCAAAAAAAGGAGGAGGTTCTCAATTCAATTGTATTTTTTTTTATGTTTGTTACCTCAGAACTCCGTCGTTTATTAATATTAGTATAGATACATTTAAAACAATTACAGCTAACATTGAGGTAGGTGACAAATGAAATCGCCTAATATTTGATGGACGAATGATTGATTGCTAAATATTTCATGAATATATTATTAAAATAATAATTGATTTGTTTGTACGCTCATACATGAGTAATAACATTATCATTTTAATAACATAATTATCTCATTTTAACTATATTAATTTAAAAAATAATCTTTTAACAAATTAAACATAGCAATAACAGATTTTAACACACACAGCCTTTAGCCCGTGTTTAATCTTCTGTATCTCATATCTGTGTTTAATGAAACATAACATAATAATTAAATAACACAGGCTTTAGCTGTTTTATTTATTTCCAAATTTTATAGTGTAACACAAATTTTAATGTTTAGTTTTTATCTACTAGGTTTTTTTTAATGGTTGAATATTTTTATAAAATGACAAGACCCTTGGGAAGGCAGAATCTTCGATAAATTAATCTTAAAATTAAATACTTAATCCTTTGATCCCATATTCCCAAATTGCAACATTTAAATGTCAGTCATGGACGGTTTTAATTTCATATTACGAGTATGTTACATACATCACTTTTTCTGGGATGGAGTACTCGTTTGTTACTCCATCCCAGAAGAAGTGATGAATTTACTAAAAAAAATTATAATAAAACTAGCTAAACCCGCAAACGCTTTTTGCCATATAAATTATTTGTTAATCCTAACTAATATTATAAATGCGAAAGTAACTCTGTCTGTCTGTCTGTCTGTCTGTCTGTTACGCTTTCCCGCTTAAACCTCGCAACCGATTTTAATGAAATTTGGTACAGACAATCTTTAGACCCTGAGACAGAACATAGGCTACTTTTTTTTTCGAAAAACAGGGATAAAGGGGTTGAAATAGGGGTTGTATGGGATTTCTTAATTTTTAAAGAGAAAACCATAAAACTTAATATTTAAGCACTTGATAAGAAAATATTAAATATTTGTTCTAGCATTTTTGAAATTTCGACCAGCTAGGGGGTGATATAAGGGTTGAAAGTTAATGCAATTTCGTCAAATATCACGTCATAAGAAACAAAAAATCGTTTGTACTAGCATTTTGAAAATTTTATCAGTGTGTTTTGTAGTAAAATAGGGGATGAATTGAAGATAAGACCCGGAACGGATTCGGAACGGGATCTACAAAGCCAACCTTTATGTAGGTATACGAAATCTTAACTATTGAACCTAGGAACATGTAATTTAGAAGGGTTTTGGGTGTATCAAGTTACAAAATAGTTCACTTTCGAAGTATAAATTCCTTTTAATGAACACTCTGCATCGCCGTAGCTGCCGTCGGCGTCGCGCCGAAGTGCGGCGCCGGCGCTGTCGTGTGGTGGGGAAGCGCACGAATCTAACTATGTCTACCCGAACGGACAGACACGTGAGGACAGAGGTCGTTGTCGGGTGCGATAAGAGAAATTTGGGCTTTAGAGAATTACATTTTTCGAACCAGTAAAATTATTTTATTGTTTCGTCTAACTTTTTAAGTGTTTTTTATTAATTAGATCCTGTAAATAAATTTTGCACATACCTATATTTCTTTTAGTTCATAGTTACAACGTTACAAGTAGGTAAGATAGTTTCCGTTACTTATATTTAAATTTATAATTTCCGTTACTTATATATAAATACGATTTGCGTTTATTTCCTTTTTTTATTTAATTAATCTAATAGCATCCTACTTTTTTGCATTGGTTGTAAATAAGTACTTATCCAAGTAGGTGCAGGCAGGGTGAACAAAGGTTTTTTAATATAATAAATCTTAATCTGTACATCTGTTTCGTTCGATTCATTTCATTTTTGTTGTTCTACGATGCCTCGCAAACGAAAGTCCAATTTAGCTAAAAGCTCTAGCAGAGCTCGGGCTGCTAAACTTGCCAGATAATCTCATTCCAGAGACTTCTCGACAGACCCAAGCTCGCCAAGCCATTGATGCCGAGCGTCACGCGGCCCAAAGAGCTGCTGAGACCTCTCAACAGTCCCAAGCTCGCCAAATCATTGACGCCGAGCGTCACACGGATCAAAGAGCTGCTGAGACTTCTCAACACACCCAAGCTCGCCAAATCTTAGATGCTGAGCATCAAGCTTCGTACATAGCCGCAGAGACCTCCGAAGAAACACGTAGACGACGATGAATACGTGGGAGGCATTTGCCGATGCTGCTTTTAATTATGATCTGTTACTTGATTACTTTAATCATCGATTAGTCCTCATAGGTAGAATGGCCGATAAATGCAGACATTGTGAGGCACTCAAGTGGAAGGAAGAGACCCTAGGTATGTGCTGTTCTGGAGGCAAAGTATTAGTACCAACGCTTGGTGACCCCGAGAAGCAACGACAGAAGAAAGGACAGCAATGAATCTCGGCGATTTTTCCTGTCATCATGCCTGGATTTTCACCCACATTTACGGTACAAGGGCAAGTTTATCATAGGATTGGTTCTTT